CCACCCAGCCCCCCCAACACATGGCCTGCCCCACACCTGGACCCCAACCAGTCCTGCTCCACACACACACACCCACACACAGGCCCCTCAACACCCCTCCCTCTTGACACCTGGACCCCCAACACCTCTCCCACTCCGCACACAGACCCCCAATGCCCCTCCTGCCCCACACCCAGACCCCAGTGCCCCTCCCATCCCGCATACAGATCCCCAGTGCTCCTCCCACCCCAACCCTGCACACAGACCCCGAACACCTCTTCAGTCCCACTCCACACACAAACACCAAACACCCCTCCCGCCCCGACCGACACACACAGATCCTCAAAGCCCCTCCAGTCCCACCCTGCACACAAATCCCCAACGCCCCTCCTGTCCCACCCCACACACAGACCCCAAATGCCTCTCCAGTCCTGCCCCACACACAGACCCCAGCACCCCTCCAGTCCTGCCCCACACACAGACCCCTGCAAGCCCCTCAAACCCCAGCCTACACATACCCCATCTACAGTTATATCAGTGGCCATGTCTACACTACATGGCCTTGACTGGCGCAGCTACAGGCAGCATGGACCCATGGAGAGAGCGGTGGTTTGGGATGCAGAACACCTGGTTTCTCTTCCCATCTCTGGGTGACCTTAAGCAAACCGGGCGGCGGGGGGATGTCACTCTGTGCCTCGGTTTCTCCATCTATGAAATGCTAAAGATACTGCCCTCCTTGGTCAATTGTTCGGAGATCTACCCAGGAGCAGCTCAAGATAAGAACTGGGGGATTGTAAAACCATCCGATGAGCAGAACAGAACAGGCTATATTAGTAAAGCACAGGTTTGCTGGTGTCACTGCATCTACCTTTTCTGGCACAGGTCTGTCTGTCAGCTGTGCTGGCAAAAATCTGTAGCATAACCATAGCCTGTGGCTACATCAGGGATTTTCCTAGTGTTGCCATGTCAGCAGAAAACAGCCCCGTGTCGGTAAAACGTTGACATGTAATAATAGCCCTTATCTAGCAATTTCCGTCACAGGCTTTAATACATTTAACCTCACAATACCCCTGGGATGTGGGGAAGTGCCATTGGCCCCGTTGTACAGATAGGAAACTGAGGCACGGCAGATAGGTCAACGGACTTCGGCTCTTGGGGCTACAGTTAGCGGTGAGGACGTTCCCACTCAGACTGGAGCCCGGGGACTGAAACCCAGCAAGGGGGATGGTCCTCAGAGCTTGAGTGAGAAAGTCAAGCACAAGCCTGAGTTAGTCGACCCCGGCTCTGAGACTTGGTTTTTTGGTGTCAAGTATCAGAGGGATGGCCGTGTTAGTCTGAATCTTTAAAAAGCAACAGAGGGTCCTGTGGCCCCTTTAAGACTAACAGAAGTATTGGAGCATAG